GGGTCAAATGGCAGCAGATGTCTCATATGAAACCAAAGAAGACAGGAAATGACAGGCTTTTAAAGCATTAAAAATAAACTGCTGATCCACAATCCTATATCCCACAAAAATATCCTTTGGGAATGAAGGGGACATAAAGACATTTTTTAATGAAGAAAAAGAAAAACATTTGTTACCAGAAAGACCTACCATGGAAAGTATAGGATTAGTGAAAAAGAAAGGAAATGTTAACAGGAGAAATCTTGGGATTTCAGGAATAGCAAAGAAAGGAACGCAAAAAAGTACAGGCGAACAGACTATGCTTCTCATGAGTTTTGTAAAAATCGTTTGAAAGGTGAAATAGGAGAAAAAAAAATTGCCCAATATGGTATTTAGAGTATGAAGAGAAAATACTTAAGACAATTATATTAAGGAATATAAAGGAATGTAAAGGGATTCAGTGAGAGTAAGGTTTCTACATGCCAAAGTGTTGAAATGATGTAGGCTGAAATAAGTTATGATGTATAATACAATGCCTAGAGTAATTACTAAAATACAAATACTTATACTCAAAAGCATCACAGACATAGCAAATGGAATTCTAAAAATTAACCCACAGGAAGCCAACAGAACAGGGGAACAATAAACAGTAAACAAAAACAAAAATCATAAAATGGCAGACTTAAGCCCTAACATACCAAAAATCATTTTAAATTTAAATGGTCTACATATACAACTTTAAAACCGGACATTGGTAAAATGGATAAAAAGAAAGCATGACTTAAGTATATGCTATTCACAGAACCTTACTTCAAATGTAATGATATAGATAAGGTTGAAAATGAAATTATGGAAAAATATGAACCATGCAAACATTAACCAAAAATGCATTAGTGACTATATTAGTGTCAGATAAAGTATACATCAAAGCAAAGAAAATTTACAGGACAAAAAGGGGCATTATATAATGATAAAAGGGTCAATAAACCAATAAGACATAATTCTAAACATGTATGCACAAACAAAACTTTGAAATACATGAAGCAAAAACTGATAGAATTTAAGAGAGGAACATACAATTCCACAATGATACTGTAGGACTTCAATACCCGTCTTTCAGCTATTGATAGAAATACTACACAGAAAACCAACAAGGATAGAGAAAATCTGAGTATCATCATCACCAACAGGATTGTGCAGATATTTAAAGAAACCCCATCCAACAGTAGAGAACACATTTTTTTAAGCAGCCTTACATAACATTCATCAAGATAGATTACATCATGGATCATAAAACAAACCACAACAAATTTAAACTGCTAGATCAAACATGCAATAAACTAGAAATCAGTAACAAAAAGAGAGCATGAAATAAGCCAAACACTAAAAAAGTAAACATACTTGTAAATAATCCATGGTTTAGAGAGGAAGTCTCAAGTGAAGAAATATTTAGAACTGAATGAAATGTAATTAAAACGTATTAAAACTTGTGAGATGAGGCTAAAACAGTGCCTTGAGGAAAAATTATAGAATTTAATGCTTACATTAGAAAAGTAAATCTCAAGTCAATAATCTAAGCATCCACCTCAAGAAACTAGAGGAAAATACAACCAAAGCAAGTAGAAAAAAGAATATAATAAAGATCAGAAATCCGTGAAATAAGGAACAGAAAGGTAACGCAGCAAAAACTGATGTAAAGTGCTGGTTCTTTGAAATGATAAAAAAATTGATAAACACTAAGACTGACAAAGATAAAAACAGAGTTGAAACATTTCCAATATGAGGAATAAAACAGGGTATATAAACAAATTCTACTGCCATCAAAATAATAATAAAGGTGTACTTGAAGCAAATAAGAAAATTTACATGAAATAGAATAATTCTTAGAAAAGGGCAAACCATAAAAATTCAACCAATATGAAACAGATACTCTAAATAGTTCTAGCCATATTAAATAAAATAAATACATAATTAAAAAGCATCCAAAACAACCTCCAGGACTAAACGGTTCACTGGAGAATGCTGCCAAACGTTAAAAGAACAGATAAAGCCAACTCTACGCAGTCTTCTAAATAATAGAAGGAACAGCTCTCAACACATGTTGGGAGGCCAATATCACCTACACACCAAAACCAGACACTGACAGTACAAAAAACCAACACGCAAACCCCAAAAAAGTAAGAAAAGGAAGAGCCTGAATATTATCTTTCATGAAAACAGAGGAAACTTTCCTCAATAAAAATACTAGCATACTGAGTACTACAATATATGAAAATTAGACTCCATGACCGAGTGGGGCTTATTCCAAGGCTACAAAGC